CAAACACGGTCGGTACCCCACCCCATGTACCTCGGCTCTTACTCGCATCCCGTCTCACCCCTTATTCGTCCCCTCCTAGCTCTTACTTACATCCCGTTCCAATCCATATCCGTCCTGCCCCAACCCTTACCCGCGTCACACTCACCACATTCCCATGGAAGTATATTCGCAAAAATAKAAAGAAACAATGGTCTAGATATCCATGCTACATGCAATCTCAAGTAATCCAGAAAGAGGATAAAACACCATGTTATGAAATTGTAAAACAATTGCTTTTTAGCAAATTAATAGGCGCTAAACTCTAAAAGGGAAGAAAAAAGAGACGCATATTAACGTGGATAATTTTGTTATTCAAGTCAGATTTTTAAAAGGTAAAAATGGTTTGGCCAAATCAAACTTCATAATTTTTTGGGCTCATCTTGGGTGGATATTTTTCCAAACTCGGGTGTTTGTACCTGTACATGGACCAAAAGCAAACCAAATCTTTGAGTTTTATAAAGAATGCCAACTAAAAACACGATATAGCTATAGAGAACCATGAGGTAGCCGAGATAGCAAGATAGGGATATATATGCCATGATCCATGATACGTACAACTCAAGCAAGTGTTAATAATATGAAGAAATAATAAGAAATGAGCTTTTGTTACATTTCGAGATACTCTTGTTTGAGATTTCCCAAGAGATTCTTTCACTTCCATAGCTATGTAGTTTTAGTGAAACAACTACTCTTACATTAGCCCVAAAACCAGCAAAACAAACTCATAAAAATTGCTTATCTTTTCTTAGCCTTATTTTATTTCTCTTGCTTGTATGACGATATGCGTTTGGTGTGCTTCGTATTCTTCTATTTATCATATCAACTTTTGTTATTCCTATGTTGGTCCTTCAATGAATTCACATCAAGACACCACTCAAAAGCCGCAAGTTCAAAACCACACAACACGGTGAGGATGAATGGTCAGTTGCAATAGCACTAAACCCTCTATACAAAATACTAAAATACTCAGTTATGAGAAGAAAAGTAAAAATAGACGTTAGATCTGATGGGCATACAACCGGGGAGTAGTTGATGAGAAATTTGATAGTTTACAAAAAATGCATAGGTTATAAGTAAAACATTCGAATCATTGATTCCATCGTRGCCTTTTCTCTGTCAGCAGTAAAATCTCTTGGTCTTATATGTGATAAATATAGAGGTATGAAAAATCATATGAATTTTCAAAACAGTAATATGCTAATTGGTTTTCAAATGTAATAGTACTGTGTAAACTCCAATTATTTCTGTGGATGATATACATTTGCGTATGAACAATGTTGTTGGATTTACCATTTATTGTTGGGTACCCGAGCCCAACGCATACATTAAA